GTGTATGGAATAACCTGGCTTGCTAAGCTTACCCGGATAACTGATATAGAGCTCACATGTTCACTTGATAGCTAACAGTTTTGAGATTAAAGTATGAAGAAAATCAAAGTTCCAGTTTACCCACTGTTTTTATCCCGACAATTCCTCAAAGTAAAGAGCATATTTAGCATCGCATGAAGAATAGAAAGACTGTCCGGATAATTGGTCTAGGAAACCCATGTTAAGTGGCGTTACTCGAATGCTCTCGCACAGTGGGCGTAGCTGTACCAGACTTTTCGGTCCTGTGCGTATACCGTTTGTTTAGCCTATATAAGCCATTTTTAGAAGGACATATTTTATTTAGTCGTTTATTTTTAAAAATAATACTGCAAAGTTTTGCCCTGAGAAGACACGAAAACAGCTGGGTGACAAGATGCTAAAAAACAAGGATTAGTGATAGTGAGACTTGCGCATGGATTAGCCAAAGAGAAATCCGTGTTAGTTAGGAATAGGTGATTTGAAAAACGAAGTTTCTCCTAAACGCTTGATCATCAGAGATGCAAAAACACACACACACGCGAAAAGTTAGAGGACGCTGATTTTTTAAGGCCTGTTTTTTGAAGCTCTTTGATAAGAACGACATTGTCAGTGGATACTGACCGGTGAGGAAATTTTCTTCGCTGCTTCATTCATGGCTGCAATCCAGGCCTGCAGTGTATCCGGTGCGCGGTGCATATTCTCGAACAGCCAAGTAATGATGCCGTTCAGCCAGTCAGTTGTTGACTGTTGATCCGTACTCCATGCACCACTGCTAAATTTCAGCTGATAGTACTAATTACCGAATAAAACATCTTCAGTCAATCTGATATGATAGAAGCATTTTCAGAGTATTATTTGGTGGTCACTGAAGGTCTCAAGTGGCGATCTCTCAAAAATTTATTCAAGTTGTATGTTTAAAGAAATTGAATATCAAAGCTAATGTTGAAATTAAAGTAATCAGTTGAACAGAAATATTTCGGTTCGCTAAGTCGTACACATTCCTATTTAGCCTTCCAATCTGGACCTTTTCAGAACGACGGCTGTGGAGCTAATTAACTAAAAATGTTTAAAATATGAAAGGCTATAAAAGGAAAACTGATAAAAAGAAAAGAGCATAAAGAGTATTTCACCTCGTTATCATCTTGGCAGAACTCTGTGTGGCTAGGTGATTATTTTCACGAAATCCGTAAAAAATGGTAACCTTGTAGCAGTGCTTGGTGCTGTAGTAGGATGAACACTGGAGGCAACCTCCGCTTGTGGCGCGCCTAATTTGCTAAGCATCAAATAGCACATTGCACCAACAACAAGCCACGACACAATCAGCCACAATAGTCCATCCATTGCTGTGAAGAGCAGCACCCAAAATTAACCCACCTCCTATAATAACAGCATGGACTACATGATGAAAGCTGCAACAGCTTATCATGTTCGACTGGGATTTATTGACGAGGTATAGCTGTGGTACTCGGCTATTAGAGCACTGTTTTCGTATTCGTGTAAATGCGAACAACAAAAAAAGTAGGTGCACTCTTTTTTTCGAAGGCGCCGGTGGAATACTTGTATTTGTAATTCGTAACATTTCAAATTCAATTCGTTTCATTTTAACGCGGCACTGATCATTTTCGACAAATAAAAATTAAAAGTTTATTCAAAGCTATCAGCATCTAGAGAAAATTCATAAATTGAATGGTACCCACACAGTGTTATATGAATGCGGGGAAGGCTGCCAGTGCAGTGAGAGCATTCTCTCGAATGGCTCGATGAAATTATGTGAATAAGAAAGGGACAAATTAGGGAAAAATGGTTAAGTTGCTAGTTCATCACTGATAAAAAGCAGCGCAACAAATGAAGAATAGCAAATCAGTGCGTCCAGTTACTGATAATTTTAACTAAGAACGCTCAGACACTTTGTTACCATGAAGAAAAGCTAAATTTAATAGTCGAGAAGTTTTTTTTCCGCTGAAAACTACTGGATGTCACGCATCACTGAGTAATGTCAATGAGTCGTGGAAAGAAATGCCCAGCCATACATCTTGTAAGATGACCAGTGGGCCGCATAAGTATTGCGGATACGGCAAACCCATTTCAGAACAGAAAAGCGTGACTTAACCGCATCTAGCGATCGAGTGCATCCTAATAACACTAACAAGCACCTTGGCACAACAT